GCCACACAGAAAATTCCTAGTTCCGCTCATGCCTTTTTTTTTTGCAAGCTAGTCGCAGGCTAATAAATTCATAGATAAGCAGTAGAAAATAGGTAGGAATTAGGTCCATAAGATAATTTAGTTGCTTTTAAATTTACATCCATAGTAAACTGCAGTCGTACAAAGTTAGATTTTAAAATTACGATTGAACGAAGTGAATCTCCCCCCGCCCTCCCCTGTCAGAAAACAATTTGTCCAGAGAATCACTCCAACTTTTGCCCAGAAATTATACTAGGTACTAGCTGCTCCGGACGCCCTACGGGCGCCCTCCACAGCTAGCAATGGTGGTGCAGTACCTTAATTGGAATCGGAGCAATTAGTTGAATCTACTTAATAATGATGAATAAAATGTCTGTAACAATACGTGTTGTTAGCAATACGCAATACTGCAGTTAATAAGTCAGGGTCAGTCAAGCCGCAGAGAAAGATGCCAGGATATCAAGAAGCTGTGAGGCGGAGCAGCCGAGGGATGGCAAAGGAATGTGGGTGGCGAGTGACGAACTGACGAACGACGATGCGACCCAAACTTCCTTCTTTGAGGTTGGTGGAGGAGAGCTATACGAAAGAAAACGGAGATAGCCGAAAGAACGTGGTGGGAGGGGTGGCTGAGACCCTAGAGGGGGTATCTAGGGACGGGCAAGCAGGTAGCGGCCGGATGACCGCTCAAAACAGCTGAACTTTACTCGTCGATAAAAGTAAGAAAATTTGAGAAAATCGAAAAAACAATTACAGCCTGCAAATCTACAGATCAGAAGCTTTCATTTAAAAAAAACCCCATGCAAATCGGTCCGATGGTTCTCTCAAAGTTAATGCCCCAAAATGCGGACTTTAGTCTGAATAAATGGGAGAAAATTTGAGTCCAGCTAAACTTCACTCGTTGAGAAAAGTAAGACAATTTGAGAAAAACGAAAAAACGACCACAGCCTGTAAATCTACAGATCACAGGCTTTCATTTAAAAAAACCCGATGCAAATCGGCCCGGTGGTTCTCTCAAAGTTAACGTCCAAAGGGACCTCCGTTTTAATGCATCGAAGACAATTTTAGAAAATTATGGGAGAAAATTTGAGAAAATCGAAAAAACGATCACAGCCTGCAAATCTACAGCTCAGGGGCTTTCATTTAAAAAAAATCCCATGCAAATCGGTCCGGTGGTTCTCTCAAAGTTAATGCCCCAAGATTCGGGACTTTGCATTTTAATATATAGGATACTCCTACGTTTGATGGTCTCCATATATTGGCGAGACTAAGTATAAAAAATGAAATTCTTATTTGACAGGAAAAATGAGTAGTTGAAGTCTCACCCTATCACAAAATATTTCAATTACAGGAGAGAGCATTTGAAAAGAAATATTGTGAAAATTACAAAATGAAAAATGAGTGCTGAGGACAAGCCAAGCCTCAAGCAAATACCAAAAGGTAGCCTCAAATGTCCTCACTCAAAAGAGATCCTCAATTTTTGAATCATCAAACTGCGGTATTTCATACGAATCAAGATTTTATTTTTCACGAGATATGGCAGCCCTGTTCATAGCAAAGTCTCTAGCTTCTGCGTGCGGAACCCCCCCCCCCCTTCTACTACACTGATCAAGTTGAAGCATGCATCTCACAACTCCTCGCTCAAAAGAGATCCTCAATTTTTTCTGAAGCATGAGAGTGGTAGTTTACACGAATCAAGATTTGATTTTTCATGAAATATTGCAGCCCTGCTCGTACCAAAGTCTTCAGCTTCTCTTGCAGCGTGAGGAAAAACAATCCCCCCCTCTACTACACTGATCAAGTTGAAGCACGCTTCCCACCCGCTCCCCTCACTACTCTCTCTCTCTCGCCCGCAGGTACCCCTCCGGTTCCTTCCAAGCGTCGGCCATTTCCGTCCAGCGTCCACTCTTCGCTTGAGGTCGCGTGCGCGATGAACGTGGATCAACCCTTCCGACACCGGCACCATGCTTCAACTTTGGTACTTTCTTCTCATTCATTACTTCTATTCTCAAGTTTTAGCATTCCCGACTTTCAAGAAACGGTCTCGCGGCGAGTTTTCGGAGTGCGTCAACCTTCAATGATATCGTGCCGCGTTTCGTTGGGAAGAATGAACAATCGCTGAGTCACTTGTTTCGGGGTTCTTCCCTTCCCGCGCAATTTCGTGAATCTGTTCGTCGATTTTGTGTCGTTGGACTTTATTACTGTTTGAAGTGTTTCGTTTGTATTCTTGCCGTGAAGGGAGTGATCGATTTGTGAGTATTATTCGTCGTAATGCGTCAATTCGGTCGGGTTTTGTGTGACTTCAATGATGGCAGTCTGTAGCGTGTTGGAAAACTTGGCCTCTGCTTTCAACTTTCTCTCTGGTATCTGGTTTGATTGATTCTGGACTGGAATCGAGGTTTGAGATACTTTACCTACTTCTGATTTAAATTCTGCCCATCTGTGAAGTAATTACCTTCACTAAGATGTCATAATGTGTTTGAACGATCAATTTGATTAATGGCGTATGCATGTCCACTGAAGCAATTTCTCGAGAGAGACGAATACTGTTACTGTTTAGTTTCTATGTAATGCGCATAGATTAAGCCAAAATGGACTGCATTGTGCAATTTGGAACTATAAATTCTGGCTCATCTGTAAAAACATGTATGTGCATGGGAAAACTAATGACACATAGGTTGTTTTTAAAACGGGCCGGACTTCGTAGTTCCTAATTGCAAAATGCAGTCCAAATATTCTTCATCAAATCTTGAGTTCAATCATTCATCGTAGTAAGAACTGTTTTAACAAAGTCAATTTGTATGCTTTGAGAAAAATTTCCATAACAATCAAAATGTGCCCTTTTTCAAATTGATCACTTTTTGTCAGGATTTTTTTAGTCATAACTTTTGTTGCTGATAAATTTCCTCCTATCAACCGTAAGAAAAGTTGAGACTTCTTTTCTTCTCTTCCTGATGTATGTCTCTTTTCCACTTTCCAATCAAAATTTCAGGCGAAGCAGTTGAGAGACAGGTGAAGTAGGTAGTCGTCATTAAAGGTCTTAAAATTCATTAGGTAATATCATGCAAATGCGACAATATTTTGGATTACTTTCTTGTTCTAGGTACTTTAGCGCAATTCATTGACTTATCATTCTTGGTGTGAGGGAAATTTCACGGAAAATATTGGAACAATTTTCCTAGTTCAAAAACTTCCAAGTTTGTTTTGAAGTTATTAAGTTAGCTTTCTTGAGGTACAAATGTTGTTTTCCAAGGAAATAGGGTTCTTTCAAACGTCCGAGTGAAATTCTAAAATTAAGTTCGTTCTAAGTACATTTCCAGTGGCAAAAAATGTTGCATGAAAACAATTTCAAATTCATCGTCTTCTCAATCATATCTGAAATCGACCTTTGCCAGAAAATTTCAGAGAAGTACATTTGCCAAATTCTGTGGCAATCCTGTTCTCAGAAACTAAGGCGTTAGTAAGCATTTTGGTCGGTTTTCTTGTAGGTATTCCAAAAGCCTGAATCGAATATTTTTCAGCACTCTTTCCGCTCTGCTGAAAGGTAGATTCCCGCCAGATTCGAATGGAAGGGTCAGCGGCATCGAAAGGTTTTCGGTTGGTTTTTCTAGGAATCCGAACGAATTGGCGACGACACGGCGGGCGAGACACCCCACCGGATGTCTGGCAGTCTGCTGGCGGTCTAGCAGGTAGATAAGGAACCCTTTTCTCCGAATTCGGAGCCCGAGCGAGCGATTTCAGCTCATTTCATTCTGATTCTCTCACTCTGATTTTTCGACACTTCGGTTTTCCCCTTTGATATGCTACCGAATCGCTGCATTATCAATCCAATTCTTAGGTGCTCCCTCGCCCCTTCTCAAAATTTGTTTTCTCGGAACGAGTCCAGAAACTTCTCGCTTCACTCTGGTTTAGGCACGTTCTGTCTTCGCCCTCCGCTCCCGCCATCCGCCACTCCCCTCTCTTTCCCATCTTTGTGTTACGTACGAAATTCATAATCCTCAGGATCGGTGCAAGTCCCCCCCTTCCCTCTCCCTCATCGCGTCAGCGGATGATAGATAAGTGGCTTCGAGTACAACAGCTCTCAGACTGTATGAAAAAGGACTATCTTCCCACCTACTGTGTTTTCTTGTTTTAATTATGAATTTTCGCCATGTCAAGAGGGAACTCTTCCATGCTGTACCTATTTGATAGTAACTGTTAAAGCTGTTCAGGGGCCGTCCACAAATTACGTAAGGCACTTATTCCGATTTTTAGACACCTCCCCGGTAAGGCACTCGTAAGGCTAGGCTGGACCCCCGCCCCCCTAATAATCACGTAAGGTTGGCCAGACCTTCCCCCCCTCCGTCTATCGTTTAAATGCATAATTTAATGATAAATGGTGTTGAAACAAATCGGTATTGTTTTAAGTATTATTAATTACTGGTAGATCAGAAATTATAACTGTTGTATTGAAAAAACAGCCAGTTTTTGAAGTCATAAAGTTCAGAAAAAATTACATTTTTTTTTTACAAAAAACGTTATACCTTCCTACGTCTACAAAAATCGAAATTTGGACCAGTCAGTCTTTAAATTAACGAATTTTGGAAGGTAGAAAAACTTAGCGTTTGGCTTACGTAAGGCAGCGCTTGGACGGCCGATCGCTTTGGGGGGGGGGGGGCTGTCAGGCTCAGAGTTTCTTAATTTTTTATGCGAGGATCGCATTACTAAGTCTCATGCCGTCTCTGGTGACTGTGTCAGGAAATCGCAGTTCTAGCGTGTGGAGTCAAAAATTTTCATTGGTTATCATTATCAACTAAATGTCAACGTTGCCCTTTAACACTATGATGCGGAACAACAGCCACCTTTAGATGCCGATACTGTGATTGCAGGGATGCTGAATCTTCTAAGCTTTCACGTTTTCGAGATCCCACAAGCTTTCCGCATTCTTCTTTTTGGCTTTCCACAGAATTTCCTGCCAATTTAAAAAACGGAGGGTCTTTTCCTTCTCGTTTGCCTTGATTTTAGCCCTTTTGATTTTGATCAGGCCCTCAAAAATCGTCTCCTTTCTCCATATTTTTATGCTTCCCTAGACGGATTAAATCCAGGTCAGGGATTGTAGGGATATAGGTCGTTTTTCATCTGTTTTTTCTCATATCCTGATAATATGCTTCCCGCTCCCCATTTTGCTTTTTTTAGCGTTTTCTTTTTTCTCCCCGTCTTGTTTCCTCTCTTTTTTTTCTTCCAGTCTTGTTTCCTCTTTTTTTTCTTTTCTTCTTTTTACTGTTTTCTTCCCTTAGGTATTTTTTCTTTTTTGCTTTTTTCTCCTGTCTTTTGTTTTGTTTTCTTTTTTCTTTCTTCTCTTCTTTTTCGTGTCTTCTTTCTTCTTCTCGTATTGTTTCCTCTCCTCCTTTTTCTTTTCTTCCTTTATCTGTTTTCTTCCTTCTTTTTCTGTTTTTTTTTTTTTCTTTTCTTCCTCTCTTCTTTACTTCTTTACTTCTATTCTTGCTTTCTTCCTTTCTTGCTCTCTTGCTCTCTTCCTTTCTTCTTTGTTTCTCAATGTTGCATGTTGGTGGTGGTGTCGCATGTTGCATGTTGGTTTTGCATGTTGGTGGTGGTCTCTAAGCCGAAGCTGCGTCTCCACGGTTCATCCGACTATCGGAGGGATGGTCCGCCAAGCAGTCCGCCGCGCGCTTTGTCATCCGACAGAGCGCCCGGGGGGTTGCTTGACGTATACCCTCCGTCTGATGGTTGGACGAACTATGCAGACGCACCTTCGGCTCTGAGGCTCTAGTTACGTAGACGAATCACGAGCAGAACCCCATCCAGGTGGAAGTCAGCAACGTTCATCGATGCACATCGATGAGCATTGATGAGTCCCACCTGGACGGTGATCCACTCGCGATTTGCCCGTGTAACGAGAGTCTCGGGTGGCCATGCGTGTGGTGGGGGTGGTAGGCCCGGCCGGGGGTTTCGGGGGCCCACGTCCATCGGGGCTCAGCGCCAGCAGGTCTGGGCGGATCTGCTGATGGGATCCTCGCCGGAGCTGAACGAGCGGCGATCGCCGTTGGACGCCTCGACCGCGGGAGGCAAGTCGCCACGAAAATAACCCGGGCTCCCGGGAGCCCGGGTTCAGCGGAACCATTTACAGGCCTTACAAGATTCACCTCAAGGCTTTACACGATTCACCTCGAAGCCTTACATCCAGGCACCCACTATGACGATTCAGCCGTATACGAGTGGATTTCAGCTAATGGGAGAAAATCAGGGGCGTAGCTAGGAAATTTCTCTAGGGGGGCCATGGGACCACCTCTCGTGATGAAAAGAGCGGAGGGGGGGGTGAGGAATGGAGGATCCCTTTTTTCTGGGGGGGGGGGGCAGGACCCCCCTAGCTACGCCCATGGAGAAAATATGGGCAAGACGTGTAACTGGTCGCTCAAAACTCACAATTATAATATTTTCTCTCGATGTTTGGTTTTTTGCGTAGAACCAGGTCACACCAACCACGAAAAAATTCCTCAGGAGATTTGAATAGCTCTAAACCTTTTTTTCAACGTGCTTAACAGTGAAAATGTCAGTTTTGTGACGTGTAACCCGGGGGTAATCAATGTATCAGATCGTTATGTAAATAAACCAGGACCTTTTGCGAGCTTTGTCTAATTTTTTTTAAGTCTTGAATGTATTTTGTTTCATATAATATGCATTGAATCACCAGAAAACTATATTATTCGATTTAATTTGAGACTTGAAGCGCGTAACTCAATAATATGTCAGTTTGGTGACGCTATGCGTTTTAGTTTGTGGCCACTCAAGAGACAGCGCTTGTGTGCGGATTAAGGCATGATTGAGTGCGGAAAAGTAGAACGAACAGACGTGAACTTGATAAGTCCACATATTTCTTCCAATTTCAGCATAATTTCAGTTTTTCCCATGATTTTTAGAGTGTCTCGCTTATTCAATGTCAGTTTGGTGACGCTGTTTTCCATCAAACATTTTGGTGGAATATGCAAGGAATATGTGAGCAAATATTTTTTTCTTACATCTACAGGTAGCCTCTCGACCTTAACCCTGTTATTCGTTTGATTTTGTTACTGTAAATTGGCAGGAAAAATTAATGACAGCAAAATGTCAGTTTGGTGACGTCACCAAACCTGACATGTCCAAACTAAACTAACATGTCAAGCTTGGTAAAGAAAAATAATCGTAAAGATATTGCGATGCACGTAATTAAATTCTATAGTATGGAGCTCTACCATCACAGAAAAGTAGTCTATCGCTTGATACGGCCAAATCACTTTTCAACTTTTTTTCAGAACCATTTTCTCTCATTAGCTGAAATCCACCCATACCTATAGTTGTAACTTGTTATAAAGTTGCATACAGGGTTGCCACAGTCAGGGAATACCAGGAAAACCGAGAAAT